GCTGTTCTGATGATCAACTAATTTGTTTTTCAACCATGAAAGAAATGAACGTCTTTGGCATACCATCTTATTTGTTTTGATTGCTAGAACGAAGTGCAAACTGTTCTCATTTTCTTTAGACCAATTACATAACTTCAAGTCTGGTAAGTAAGATTATGATGAACCTAGGTCGGAGGAGAAGCTGGAAGTTAGGGAGTGAGAATCAGTTTAATGTTTGGCATGAAAATTATTTCAAGTTTTTTTCAGGAGCAGTTAACCAAATGGGAAATTACAGATTCATGCAATCATGAAAATTCTGGAAACCTGTTCCTAGAACACACTTTCTAATTGTAAGCTGTGCTATAAAAGGAAAAGATAATAGTGTTGGTAAAATACTTTTTTGGACTATGGCTTGATTTACTAAACTGGTTGGGTTTTGGCCTTTTCAGTTGTCGTTATTTCTTTCTGAAGCAATTGCGGTGATGATGCCATAAAAGTTGCATGATTTCTTATGGATTGTCAATATTGTTTAATAATCAGTCAGTTTGAATGTTCATTATCAAACCTTTGGATCATTAAAATTTCAGTAGGAGAAAACATTGAAGCTTGTTGATCGTGGATGTTATATCACCACTAATTGAATGGACCCTCATATTTTGTTTGACAATAAACCATGCAAACGCTCAGTGTTAACTTCAATCATAACTACAACCTACCTTTCTTGATTCTTTTACTGTTTGGGATAACCTGGGTCCATCTTTCCTAATCAAGTGATCTATTCTGGACTAAAATGTAACCATAAGGCCTGACGCAAATTTTCATGCGGCTTTCAGGGAATCAGTAAAGGTTCCGTGGTAGAAAAGATCTTTACATCAATGGCTGAAAGCGGAAGACAGGCTGATTTTGTATTGTGTATTGGGGATGACAGATCAGATGAGGATATGTTTGAAAGCATTGATAATGCAATAGCAAGTGGTATCCTTAACTCCAGTAAATCTGTATTTGCTTGCACTGTTGGTCAGAAACCTAGCAAAGCCAAGTACTATTTGGATGACACAGCTGATGTCATAAACATGCTTGAAACTCTTGCAGAAGCTTCCGACCCATCACCCTCTGCTGGAAACTCCCCTTGAAATCTTTAAGATGATCAAGGAAGAATAACGTGCTTGACTGTGATTGAGGGTAGCAATCATTTTCTGCTCATTTTTGGAAGTGGCTTGTTGGAAGAGACATTAATGGCCTGTTGAGAAATGTCCAAGCACTTGAATTTTGTCTGTGACATAACATAAACAGTTCAGAGAGTGGGATTTTACTTGGGGAAATCCTAAGAAAGTATATCTTTTTAATCAGTTCAGACATGTAGGGGTTCGGGTGACCTAATGGATTTATAGGAAGACTGACATGGAATTAGAAGAAATAAATATTGCATTGCAAGCGTGTAAAGGCCAGCTGCATAGGATCCAATACATGATTGGAGGTGGCATTCATATTCAACTGCATTCTTGCCTGGGTAATTCAAACGGTGGGAGGTCGGGGTTCCCGCTGTAACAGAAGCAGGTATCAGATGATTTTAAGTTGCCACGATGAACAGAGACTATACCGGTGCAAATTTTTTCCTTTTAATTTTTTTTTTCTCGAGTGAATTTCTTTTGGAACAATTTTTATTTTATTCCTTAGCTCCTTAAATCTGTAAATTTTATAGCGAAGTTGGGAATTTAGTTGATTTTGAATCAGTTTCATTGAACGACATTGTTGCTGATGCTTACTGGAGTGTTGGTTGATTCTTGACCTGTTTGTAAACTGTGGACACTTCTGCCATTTGTACTGCACAAAAATGAGTTTAATGTTGGTTTTGTAAATTCTCGAGGAACTGGAGAAAGAGACCTTTTTTTAAAACCACTTGTCTTGTGCATGCTAATAGGTCTGCTGTCTTGCTTTGGAACTCCTGTCGTCCGTCAGTCTTCCTTGAGCTACTGCCGTTTAAGCCCTGCCTCTGCTTTTAACATCGTAACGGATGGTCTTCAATGATTTTGTAGGCTTTCGGCAATTAGCATAAAAAAATAGTAAATTAATATCGGTAAATTTTTTTGATGAAATAACATGTTTTTGATGTCATAGTTTTAAACTGTGGTATTAAATTAAATATAATATTTCCAAAATGTCATGATTTGCAGTTGTGAATTATGATAAATTAACTGATTTTTTATGGTTATTTAAACTGGTCAATCAATTTATAAAGAGAATTATAAAACTATTAAAATCAGAGTTTTGTATGATATTTTTTAGATTTGATTGTTGAAGAAAATAATAATCTCCGAAGCTCCGAAAACTCCTGATTTGATAATCAAATTAAAAGCTATAGTTTTTTTTTTAAACCATGATTTTAGTTCAGCGTGACTTAACCTTCTATTAAGTATAGACCTCTGTAAATAACCTTCTATCTAGGTTATTTGATTGTTGTTTTCATGCCCCTTGTTGAGGATGAGGGAGTCACAGTGTTTTAAGCTGAATTTGGGTTTTCCATGGTGGTTTGATGGGCTAATATCCTTTATTTTATTTATTTTTAGCTTGGATTGTGATCCATGTTTTCTCACAAGACAAGGTTCTTTTTTAAAATAATAGATTCTTAAATGCTTAAGTTGAAAAAAAAATAATCTGTAGATGGAGAGAATAACAAAGGAGTGTTTTGTAATATGTTGTTTTTTAAAAAATATATATATGAATGATCTGTGGTAAAGGGGATTGCAAACCTACCCGGAGAAGAAGTCACAGTAAACTACTACTTTGTCGCGAATCATAATGCAATTATCCCTTAACTCTAGCCGTGACGACTTTAACAGAACAAATATAACCCTATTAATTTTTTTGATTTTGTATTAACTATCTTTTCCTTCTCATTTTCTTTGGACCATGACCACAAGGCCCGATCAGGCTTCTTTTCTCTCTTCCTGTTCTTGTCTCTTCACCTCAGCTCTGGTTAGGCCCTTCATCTGTCTTTTCTTTCTCTTCTTCATTATCTTCTCTTTCTTTAGGGCTAGCTGGGCCCTTCCTTCTTCTACTATACTCTCCTCTCCCTTTCTCTTTCTTCATTTCGGGTCTGGTAAGGCCCTTCCTTCTTCTACTATACTCTCCTCTCCCTTTCTCTTTCTTCATTTCGGGTCTGGTAAGGCCCTTCCTTCTTCTACTATACTCTCCTCTCCCTTTCTCTTTCTTCATTTCGGGTCTGGTAAGGCCCTTCCTTCTTCTACTATACTCTCCTCTCCCTTTCTCTTTCTTCATTTCGGGTCTGGTAAGGCCCTTCCTCCTCCTCCTCCTTTTTTCTTTTTTCTTCTCCTCCTCTCTTTCTTTTTCTGGTTCGGCTGGGCTGGTTTTATCTTGACCCAATCATATGACATTTGCGGATTTTTTAATATCATTTTTGAATGATTAAGACATTTTAGTAGCCTCTTTCAGTCCAATGCTTAGATTCAAGTTCTCTCGTTTCCTTTCTTCTTGTTATTTTTTTCCCCTCTTTCAATGTTATTATTTACTAATATATTGTAACTTAGGCCCTGTTTTTTCCGTGAAAAATGGTTTTTTATAAATTATTTTTTAAAATATTTTTGTATTTATTTATCATTAAAAAAATTATTCAACAAAAAAAAATTTCCAATAAAAAAAATTTTGACTTAGTTTTTAGGACAGTATTTTTTTTTATTTTGAGAGGAAAATATTTTTTAAAAGCTGTGAAAAATTTAGAAATGTCATGTTATTTGTTTATTATATCAAATTTGATTCTCAATTTTTGATTAATATATAATTTATTTTGAATTTTTTTTTCAATTCTATCACTTAGAATTTGATATAGTTTGATTTTTATATCAATTTTGATCTTTATTTTTATGATTATCGTTTGCTTTTCTCTTATTATTTTTTTAATTGAAATTTTTTATCTATCAGATTTTATTCTTATTTTTTATTCTTATTTATTTTATTAAAAATAATTTAAAAAATTTTAATTTTTTTAATTTCATCATCTTTTCATTTTTTTATCTGTTAGATTTGATATCTATTATTCTAATTGTTATTTATCTTATATGAGATAATTTATGAAATTAATTTTTTTTAATTTTATTCTCATTTTACTTTTTAATTTGTAATATTTATTTTCTATTATTTTAATAAACTTGAAAAAAAAAATTATTTTCCAGTTCATTTTTCATGACATAGTTAAACACTGAAAAATTTTCCAACTTATTTTTTATGATACTATCAAATATCGAAAAAAATTCAATTTTCAAGAAAACCACTTTATAAAATAAAACTATTTTTCAGTAAATAAATAGTTGTTAGTCTCTGTAGTTTAATGAAACTAATTAATTAATTTTTGTGATTTTTGAGACTATATAATTAATCCTTTAAATCAGTTTATAACTTAGTATTTCCATAATTTCACATCCATTTCCTTTTCTTTTCTTTTTTTTTGTTGAAAAATAGAAAAGAGAAATAGTTAAGATAGGAAGATTTGATTAGTGAAAAAGTAAATTCTGAAACAAAAAGCAACTAAATCGTGGAAGACCAATGCTGTTCAAGGTAATCTGTAATTGTTTTTGTTGTCATGGAGACTAATCAAATTTAACTAAATAACCCTTGCATCATAACTCTCGTATTTCCCCATTTTCTGCATTGTCTGTCTCTCTGTAACATGATTGATGATGTGGTGCAAGAAATTTTATAAAAACATAATTAAATCGAAAAAGTAATTTCATATGTATATTTTTAATGTTTTTAGCTTTTAATATTTCAAAATCATATAAAAACATCTAATTAATTAATTTCACGTTCTTATAGCCATTCACCAGCCATACACTTGTTAGAAGACTGTTTGGAAACACTAACTATGTTTTTTATATATATTTTTTAGATTATTTTAATGTGTTAATGTAAAAAATAATTTTTAAAAAATAAAAAATATTATTTTAATATAAAAAATACTTTTAAAACAAAACAATACAGGAGACCTGTCCTCCGTGCTCTGAGCATGAACAAGGCCGCCAGTACCCACATATTTATTTCTTCTACATGTATTTATTAATTTCTGGACATGCTGAAACTACTCTGATAAAACTATTGATTGGTATTAAGTGTTGAAGCTTGTCTCATTCTTTAATTTCCAACATCCTTATTAATATCTCACCATGTGGGTTATCGCTTCCCTTCATGTAGGAGACACAGCTTCTGATCCCTTTTTTTCTCCATTTTAAGCTGGTCTAGATTTGCATGGGGACCATGCAGATTCAATGCAGGAAACAGAGAAGATGAGCTACATATGGCTATCGACGCTTGGAGTTCTGGTCACAAGATGGAAGTGCTCGCGTGTTAGCTAGCAGTCAAACAGATGCAGGCAATGTTGCGCACGCAGCTCGTGAACCTTGCTCATTGCTCAAACTTTCTAAACATGGACCTTATGCTCACTAAAAGAATGTCATTTTATGGCAGTAACCTAGAGCTCTGTGCTGCTTGACCCTACCTGAAAGCAAGCAGCAGCGAAGGAGACGAACAGCTAGCTAACACTAGCAATCTTGCTAGATCCTCCAAGGCTGTGACCCCATGGCTCCAAAGCAAAAGCATGTATGGCCATTAAGAGATTGAATTCAGTCACGATGCAATGCATTTCTCTTCGAAAATGTTGACCTAAGACATATACATAACAAGAATTGATGAAGATAATTTCCTATTCTCCCCACACCATTTGATTTTCCATTACAATAATACAATGACATGAACATACACCACTTTTCAGAGTCGGGTCCAAACATCCCATGCTCCCTCATGCGACAAGGCATGTTCAACCCACGCGCCACCATGTCTAGTCTACTAACCGCACCTTCGAGTGAAGATCAAATATTTGGCAAAATTGTCAAGTCCCGCTAGCCAGAGTACATGAACTTGTAGCCATCTTTTTTTTTTTACAACAGGATTTGATATGACAGCTCGGCTTATATTAGACCAAATCGATTCAAATCGGCTAAATAATTTGATTGGTCTACCATAAACCAAGGTTTTTGCAGCAATCACTGGGCCGGATAGAACTACAATGCGATTTAATATTATATTACAAAATTATACAAAACAAAAGGGAGAGAACATCAAGAACTCACCGGAGACAAGTAAACTTGACTCTGTATCACAGTTTTGCCAATCTTGAATCCTGGAACCACTGTGAAAGCTACCAGGAGATCAGTGTCAGCGTTGGTGGTTTCTAATACCGAGTCTTGTGTAACAGCCTCCATGTAGACATCAGAGAATCTGCAATTCTTGGCTATCTGAAAAATACTGACATCCTCACCAAATGAGAAAGCTAAGAGATTCAAGGCCCATACCCTTCTAGCCATCTCAACAAATGCATTGAAGAAAGCAGAATCTGGGAATCCACCAGAATTCACTAGCTTTCTCTGGTTTAAATTCCCAAACAGAGAGCACTCCATTTTTGCATGAACAAGTTGAAGATACTTAGCCCTTGTGAATCGTGCAAATGATGAGTCTGGATTCTCAGTCAAGAACTCTTTTGGGTTCAAAGATTTGAGCTTTTTGAATTCAATGAAGTAGTAGTGTTCACTTTGAAGCTCCTCATTTGGATGATTGAAACCCTCAAGCATTGTTTTGCACACAAAAGATTCAAAGACAAAGCACCTGTGGCTTGGCTTTGAGAAAACAGTGTTTTCTGGTTCAATTGCTTTTGCAGCTGCTTCAATATCCCAGTGGGCTACCTCCATTTCACAAACCATTAATTTCACAAAATTCCTAACGGACCTTAAAGCATGATGCAAGAATTGAACAAAATGGGTTGGATTTAGGAGTGAAAACCGGATGTTGTCGAACATTGATAGAGGCCCACTTGCATTTAGTCTCTTCTCAAGAGACTTGTTAAAAGCTATGGCCTCATCAAGCTGTTTCTTGAGTGAACCAATGTCTGAACCTTTAACCTCAACCCCTGCTTCCAGTTTCTTGATTGTGATCTCATAGGTCTTCATTAAGCCCTGTTGTTCTTGAATCTCCGCCAGCATCATAGTAACCTGGGGTGAAAGGTCAAGCTCATTCTTGAAAAAACTACGCTTAAGTTCTGATAATTGTTTCAACTCATCAACAACAGCCTGATCTGAAGCTTGTATAGCATCACTACAATAAGGATTCTGAGCCATTTGTAGCTCCGCGTAACCTGCTTTAATTGTAGTAATGCTTGCAAATAGCTTTGCCAGCAATGCCTCCAAGACTGCTCTGCGCTTGGCCTTGGCATCTTTCTTCTTGTGATTATTAGTGTTTTGAGGTTTGTAGGCGGTGTTTGAATCATCTTGATCGAACTTGTTGTGTGGTGTCAGGATACACATGCCAATCCCATTATTTGAAGCAATTCTAGTTGCAGTCTTGAGGTTGATAACTTTTTGGAATGTTCTTGCTATCTTGCTCTTGTTGTTTGGGAGTGATCTACATTTGATTGTCTCCATGATTTTAGATGGAAATCAAATGAAAAAAATGTGGAAGGGGTTTTGGTTATGAAGATTTTTGGGTGGTTTTTTTTATTAGAGAAAGAAAAGGGGGTTTTGGGGATTGTAACAAGTGACAGTGCTATCCCATGAGAAAGAAAAGCCAGACACAAATTTTGACTAGCAGGTTGAAGCTGGAGATGGAGGTGGGCTGTTGCTAAGCTAGCTAAGGGTGTCAGGTACAGTGATGATGAAGTTTTTTTTAAATGCTTTTTTATTTAAAAATATATTAATTTTTTTTATTTTTATATCAATATATTAAAATAATTAAAAAAAACATTTACTGTAATACTCGACCCTCCTAAACTGAGAGATTGGTCCAAACTGTTTTTTAAAAATGATATAAAATTTAAAAAAAATGCATTAAAGAATTATAAAAAAATCAACTTTTTATTTATTTATTTATATTACTAGAATTTATTTTTCTTGAATTGCTTAATTAACATTGGATTTTTTATTTTTTATTAATTTATTCTATATTTTATTTTTCAAGCTGATTCTGTATGTTATGTTTAAGAGTAAAGGAAAACTCTGAATTTTATGTAAAGATTATAAAATCATGAACACATAAAATAAAACAAAATCCATGGAAAATCAAATCGAAAAACCACGCCTATAAAAAAACATGTAAATTGAATCAAGTATGTTTCCTAAATAAATCAATAATTTATTGTTTTTTTTTCTCTCTCTTATGAATAAATGTTAATATAATAATAAGAGAGGGCTTGTATTTGTATCAGAAGGACGTAGCCAATCAAAACTCAATGGTAGAGGGATGTGGGGCATAGCTAACCCTGCCAAAACCGGAAAATATTAATTATTGAAAAAAAAGAAATCAGCAGTGTATACTGTATATACGAGAAGGTGAGATGATGATATGTGGGCCCATTTATTTTGGTGATTGATTTCGCACCATCCGAGCATGGGCCCCATTCAACCCTGGAACGAGAGATGGCTGATTTAAGTTTGAACATCCGAGTGCGTGATTAACGACCATGATGCATGGAGCAGGTATTCGTATAATTCTGGTGGCAAACAGGAAATTAATTTGTAAATTATTAAATGAATAATTAATGCATTTAAAACCTAAGGTTTAAGGGGAAAGAAAGGTTAAGAATAAATTGTGATTGGGTCGGTGGGAGACCTTGACGGGACAGTACTGTGATTGTGATGTTTAGAATCTTGGGTGGCCAGATATGACAGCATCATCAAGTGAATCTACAGTTGAGAATTGAGCTGTGACACTGATTGCTGTGACTCTAGCCGCTCTATGCAATTTGCAAATTCCTCCATCAAGGTTGTACAGTACTTAAACAGGCTTTTCATCGTATTTTAATTTTTTTTACTTTAAATTAAATTTATTTTAATATTTTTAAATATTTTAATTTTATGATATTAAAAATAATTTTCAAAAATAAAAAAATATATTTCCTTAATACATTTTCAAAAAACAATCTTTCGAGTAGAGTTTTTTAGAAATTAATTTGTCCTATCTTTTGTACACAGAAATTATTAGTTTGAGATTTTTATTTTTATTTTTTAAGTTGGAAGAAAATGCCACGTGAAAGTCTATTCATCGGAAACCACTACACCTTGGAGTCTGCAACTCTCCACATTCTAACTTTCCCAAGAAGTAAAAATCAGCCGGCGAGAAGGCTCCAATGGGCATTGTAATTTTCTTTGGGGATCTTGTAGTGGTAAATAAATTGCTGGAAAAAAAAAGTGAGGAAACATGGAAACAATATTTTTAAAAAAAATTAAAAAAAATATTTATTTTAAATTAATATATTTTTAATATTTTTAAATTATTTTGATGTATTAATATTAAAAAAAATAAAAAAATAAAAAAAATTATTAACATATATTTTAATACAAAAAATTATTTAAAAAAAACTATTCTAAAACACTCTCCCGGACAAGCTTTAAAAAATGAAGGGAAACGCGGCATAGTTGCATGAGAATATAATTCAGACATGCCTCACCTTCTGTTGAAGATATTAAATTGCCTCACAGAATTTGCATCATTTAATACTTTGGAGATATGGAAGGGACAGTGGGAGCAGCTGGGAATTTAAAAAAAAACTAAAAGGAAGAAGCTTCCAAGCATGCGGTTGAAAATATTATATGCGAAAAAGCTGGCATTTTGAAATTCTTGCAAGCATAGAAATTAATTTAATAAGTTGAAGTTGTCTTTTGAATTAAATTACTCAAAGAGTATCTTGAAATCATTTCTCAGAAAAATAAATTATTATTATTTTTTATTTGATTTTATTTTTATTAAAAAATTATTATGATTGGTTTTTTAAATCAAAACTGGTTCCAATTGAATGATTTAATTTGATTATTTTAAAAAAATAAATTTAAATTAATTTAATTTAATTTTTTTCAGTTTGATTTATTTTTTAATATGATTGTTTTTTTATTAAATGTTTTGATTTGGTTCAGTTTTTCAGCTTATTTAGTTTAATTTTTTTGATTTCCAGTATAAAACTAAATCAAAACCATTCAGTTAATTTTTTAAAATTATAATTAATTTTTTTCAGTTATTTTATTTTAATTTTTTTAATTTAATTAATTTTTTAATTTTTTTCGCGCCCTTGTAAAAAGGCAGAAGAAAATGGCGCGAAGCAATAAATGGCCGAAAGAAGATGGTGACTAAAATACAGTTTTGAAATGGGGGACACGGACAACGAAGACACCGAAGCAGACAACATAAACAACACTTAAAACTGAGAACAGCTAGCAGAGTACCGATGCTTTGTGATTTGATGACCGTTTCTGGAAAATTTTATTCTTTTTTCTCTCCTCCTTTATCACAGACAGAGAGGCCAATAATGTTTTGCCCAATTTAAAAAAAAAAAAAAAAAAGGACACGCCGTTGAACAGTTGAACCTTCATGATTTGTGAGGCTTTCTGAACACAAAAATATACAGTGGAGAAGTACAGTCAAAAGTAAGGACAAAGTAATATAATTACATCCCGTGAAAAATAATTGTTTTTGTACGTCATTAATTGTAAAATACGTTTTGTTTTAACAGGGGTGTCTGTGTTTAAGTTATTTTTATGTGAAAATATATTAAAAAAATTATTTATATTTTAAATATTAATTTTAATATCCGCATATCAAATAATCTAAAAATATTAAAAAATTAATTTAAAATAAAATAATTTTTTAAAAAACACTTTTTACACCTAAAAATAAACAAACTATATATATCATCAAAAAGTGCCAGAACATGAACAATTTGAGTTAAAAAATAATAATAATTGTGATGAATTATGTTTTGTAGGGCGCACACCTATATTAATTAACCATCATTGTTTAAGAACATATTGAAATTACTGTCGGTATATAATTAATTAGATCATGCACTATAAGATGTGCTCGAGACTGACCCGTATAAGCAAATTGATTAAAAGAAAGGTTCATTTTAAAGATGAGAAGGTCCCAGCATCCACTTATCATCTATCTGTTAATATGATGCTGTGTTTATGTAACAAGTTCATTCAATGTCTGTATGGCATTTTTTTTTTAATTTTATTAATACAAGTATTCGATTATTTTATATACACCTCAACTAATTTTATAAATTTTAAAATTAATAATTATATAAATGATGGGTGTAGTTAAGGTTTTAAAAAATTTTAAAAATACTTTAATTGTGGTTTTTAAAATAAAAAATCAACTTAAAAATATATATATTTCATTGAAACTGTTATAAAAAGAATTTTTGTGTTTAAAATAAAGAATTTAGTTTATATAAAATCAAAATTTAAAATATAATTACATATAAAAAGCCAATAAGTAAATGATTTTTTCTCGTTTTTCACGAGCAAGAAAAAACATCATCATAATACAAAACATTCTATTACTTTCAGCTAAAAAAATAAACAGACCAAGGCCCACAATGTTCGCTAACTCTGGATAACTAAAATTAGGAAACAAAGGCGATCGAACATTAGACTTGCAAATAGAGATATGTTTCCAGTTCGAGGGGTTTGGATTAATGTTTTCGGTAGCTCTGTGACATTAATGGTGGACAATAAGACATAAACACAAGTTTTTAATCGATGCTAATTCGAGGAAGGGCCAATTCGAGCCTAAACAGCATCAGCCTTCGCTACGTAGTCCCCTTAAATATAATAATTTGATCCACCCTATCATATATTATCTATTTTAATGTTACCATCTTTATTATTTTATTTTTAGAGATGAGAGTCTATTTTTAAATTTAACGTTTCAAAATATATATAACAAATTAATAATTAACACTTTTAATAATATTAGTTATCATTTTTTTATACGTCAGTGTGAGATATTACATTAAATGTTACCCTTAAGCTAAAAGACATGCGTTTTAAGGATCTGGAAAAAAAATTTAAATATTTTCAGAAGTTACTTAAGGTTATGGGTAAAAAAATCATTGATCCTATGTGTTTATCTCTGCATACAATGATAAAGGCATTTTCGAGCTAGTTTGCTCGCTAATCAATTATGTTTTTCGATGATTTTAAAGTACACTCTTTATACACACACATGATGTATTTAGAAGAAGTAATAAGTTGCTCAATATTAATGCTAAAATTTAAATTATAAAACACAAAAACCAAATTACCAGTATTAATATAATATATTAAACAAGAGTTACTGCAAATACATACATGAGAGGCTTAAATGTAAGAATGTCATTCTCAAACATCAGATAGAGAACATTAACAAAATAATAATAATAATAATAATAATTAAAAGAGAATAGTTTTTTTCTGCAGCTCTTCTTATAAAATAATATTTATTAGAATATTATTTTATTTGTTTTTTAATTATTATTTTTAGTTTTTTAATTTAATATTATATTTTTTTTTATTAGATTATCTCGTTCTTGTGATATAGATCGCAGATTTAATTGGTTAATCTAATTAATACGAGTTTTTTTTTAGTTAACTTTTTCCTCTAATTTTGTTATTTAATATTGAGTTGATTGAGAATTAGATCTTATAATTTGTATTAATCCTTACCGGTTTCAACCTTTAATTTCATCATTTAAAATTATATTTCTTTTTAATTTGGTTATCTCATTTTCATGACACAAATCGCGGATTTGATGGGATAATTTAGTTGATTCAGATTTTTTACTTCATTAGTTTTTA